GCTGCGGCTGCTGCAGGCCCGGCTGCAGGCGTGGGCGGAGGAGTACTGCGTGAGTGCGCGGCCGCGGGGCGGGGGGCCGGAGCGCGGTAACCACGGACGCCGGCGCCCTGGCGACCGCGGAGCGCGGCCTCGCTCCCCGCTTACTGTTCCTATTAATTATTCTTATTATCGCTTTCCGACCCCCGTTCCCCTGTGTGTCTGCAAGCCTCCTACTCTGGAGAAACCCGGGGGTGTAACAAAACGGGGTTTGTAAAGTACGCCCGAGGGATTATTACCCAGCGGCGGCGATGTGGACGCTCGTTGGCGTTGTCGTTTCGTCTGTGTGCTGGCCGGGCAGCGCGGCTCCGAGAGCAGGGTTTTAGCATCAAGACAGATCTCGGGAGGCCTGCTGTCAGGCCTTTCGGTGAAAGTCGTTGTTCTGTCATTAAACTCATCGGCGGTCTTCAGATCTGGTTCCTGCCCTGCGCGCTGGCTCTCTGTAATGCCCCCTTGTTCCAGAAAGTAGAATTTCCGTTGGGTTTGCCCCGAAATTTAGTCTGTCTACCTGGAATATGAAGTTCTTGCTCTTAATATGGAGACATCAGGTAGGAAGGGATGTGAACGGGAAATTAAACCCCCTCCCTGCGTTCTAATGTGGAGAAATTTACTTAACCTTGCAGATATGTTCAGTGAGAGGATTGAACTAGGTGATATGTAATGTTCCTTTCTGGAACTCAGGTTTTTGAGTGTGGGTCAGCTTGTTTCTGTTGATATATATATATATATATTTTTAAATTTTAAATTAAAAAAATTTTTTTTGTACTGGGAATTGAACTCATGACCTCGGGCTTGCCAGGCAAGCGCTGTGCCGCTGAGCTGTATCCCTGGCCCCGGATCAGCCTGTTTCTGAGCTCATCTACCTCGAGTCCCTTGGCCTTCCCTTTAACCAGGGCTCCTGGAGTCGTGCGCGCTCAGAGAACAGGTAGGGCCTTTTCTTTAGGTTTTTCTCTAGTGTCCAGTGGTCCTCCTTCTGTAACTCAGCGGCAGAGCGCTTGCCTCGTATGTGTGAGGTCCTGGATTTGACTCCTGGCATTGAAGAAACAAAACAAAACCAACAACAGGAAAAGTAAACATCACTTCTTTATGATGAAGACTTGGGATTCTTTACATTACTTCTAAAAATATATCTGTTTACTACCTAGTATCAGAAGGTTGAGAACAATAATGTATTTATCTTTTTTAAAAAAATTGTCCCATGACTTAACTGAATTCTGAATTAAAAAAAAAACTGTAACATAACTGACACCAGCTGAAACAAATGAAATGATTGCTTTAGAAACCCCCTTTAAGCACCGAGAAATGCCATGGTTTATTATCTTCCTGTCTTGGTTATATCCTGCTTCTCCGCCACTCTGCACGGATCAGGACTTCCTGGCCCTGCGGCCCTTCCGCAGCCTCCTTCGTTTGTCCGCACCGCTCCTCGGCCGGCCTCTTTTCCTGTCTGTGTTCCGGGGCAGTTCTCCCAGCTCTCGCTTGTCTGGCTGCCCGCTGGACGTTTTTACTTTGTTTTTTTTTTGGTACTGGGAATTGAACTCAGGACGCTGTGCTCACCAGGCAGATGCTTGTGCCTCTGAGCTACATTCCCAGCCCCCGCTGGCCATTTTTAATAGGGAGTACTTCTGTCATCTCAGTCAAATCCGTCTCAAGGCACTTTCGTCTCCTGTGTCCCAGTCACTCACCTCCTTCCTAACTGCACGTCTTCATCCGGACGTACTTCACGTGTGTTTTCCCAGCACAGTTGCAACCTCAAAATTCATGTAGAATCTGAGCGCTTTGTACCACTCCCATTGCTCCTGCCCCTGTCCACCTTTGACCGTCTTTCGCCTTGATTATTACAAAAATAACTCAAAGCAACTCTTCTAGGTATCAGGTCAGGCCGAGCTACTCCTCTGGCAAACCCCACGATTCCTCCACTGGCCTTCAAAATCCAGCAGAGTTACTCCCCGCCAACCTCTCCGCCTCATCTCTTCTCCTCGCCCTTGCTCAGTCCCCTCTGGGAACACTGGGCTTCTCGTTCTTTCCAGAGCCGCGCTGTCGGGGGACTGGCGAGGGTGATGCACAGGTTCTGTATTGTGCTGTCCGAGATGGTGGCTGTTGGGCACTTGAATGTGACGTGTGTACATGTTGGAACTGAATTTTTCATTCCACTTAAGTTCCAGCTAAGTTCAAGTAGTCCCACGTGGCTGCCGGCTGCTGGCGTGGACAGCACAATCCTCGCGCAGGGAGACGCGCTTCTGCCTCGGGCGCTGGCTCCGCTGTTCCCTCTGGAACGCCTTCCGCCTGTTGATGTCTGAGTGTGCTGTCATCATCCTCACTTTCTCACCCCCTTCAGATCATTGCTTAATGTCACCCTCACTCCTCCATCCTGTTTACAAACACCATTTCCTGTCCTCGTGCCTGGGACTCAGCCTCTTGTGTTTGTTTCCATGACAGTGACACTTTCTAAGTTGTACTTATTTACCCATTTATTTTACCCTCCCCTTCTCCTCTGCCTCTGAGAGTGTAAACTCCAGACAGCAGAGACCCCTGCCTTACTTTGCTCACTGCTGTATTCCCAGCGCTGACGACAACGCTGGGCACCTAGTAGTTGCTCAGCAAATGCTTAGTGACTGAACAAGTGCCAGACAACCAGTTTCTTTGACTCCTTTTTCTTCTTAAAACCTCACATCCGGGGTAGAACTGAAAATGATCCCCAAATATCTTTAATTCAGCCTTTGTTAAAATTGAATTAAAACCAGAAGCACAATTTTCAATTAGGAGCACAAGTGAGATGATTTAAGTACTTTTAACGATCAGTCTTTGGGTAGTAAAACAAAAAGATGAGAAAATATTGGCATACTGCTGCCTAGCCTACCATTTAAGTTACCTCTGAGCTTACTGCGTACGTTGTCATCTACAGTTTGGTTTTGGTGATTTGCTAAGCACTTTCCTGTAACACTGCAAAGGTGTTTCGTGAGTACCAGGGACATTTGACTTAAACATTAAAATGAGACAGTCATTGCAGCAAACGGTGTTAGTTGAGATGTTGTAGAGAGCTATGTTTATTAGCTGTAAATTATGCTTGTAGTGAAAGACTGATTTCGTTGACTGTGACGAGTTCTAATTAACTTGAGCAAAATAAAAGGCTATAGATGTCCCTTTAGATTTAGGAGCATGATTAAAATCATTATCTTGGGAAAATTATTTTCTGGGAAAATAAATGATTTAAATTAATTCTAAAACAATGCAAAGCTTTGGTTTTTCTTTGAAGTTGCTATTACTTAGACTGACGGATCCTATTTTTATTTTAGCTGGGTATGGTGGTGCATACCTGTAATCCCCGCACTCAAGAGGCTGAGGCAGGAGGATTGCTGCAAGTTCGAGGCCAGTCTGGGCTCCATAGTGAGGTTAAGACCTGCCTCAACTGCATAGTGAGAATTTGTCTCAAAAAATTTTAAAAAAAATTTCAAATCTCTCTCATACAAATACAATTTTTAAAAATCTCTCATCATCTCCACTCTAATCGGGCCATCATCACCATCTCAGGTGTAACTTTTAGCTGTACTTCAGGATCTCTTTTATTGTATCCTACACAGTGGTCTCCCCTTACCTGCTGTTTCTCTGTTCCTTGTTTCAGGTACTGGTGGTCAATAGTTGAATAGAAATAAGAATAACAATTCCTAAGCTTTACATCCTGCGCCATCCTGAGCAGCGTGGTGGAGTCTCACACCGTTCGGCGAGCTCAGCCCCGCGGGGACAGGAGCGGTCCCTCTGTCAGTGTGCGTGCTGTGTGTGCTCCCCACCTGCTGCTCACCTCGTAACCGTCTTGCCTGTTGGACCGACTGTTGTAATGCCAGGCTTGTAGTCAGCTGAGCTCCACAGAGTGAGAATCTCACAGTGAAGCAAAGGACTCATCAGGCCATGGGAGGCAGATTAACCCTGCACTTAGTGCAGTGCAGCAGGCGGTGTCGGGCTTGAAAACACGGCACGGTGTGTGTGGGCGTGGTACTACCCACGGTTTCAGGCATCCTCTGGGGCTCCAGAAATGTACCCCTCGTGGCTAAGAGGGGAATATGTTATACGTATGAGACAGTGAATTCGCTAAAAATATGATTTTCTAAGTTCAAAGACTTAAAAAAACCTTTTTGGCTTTTTTTTACAGTACCAGGGATCAAACCCACGACCTTAGCTTGCCAGGCAGGCGCTTATGCCACTGAGCTATATCCCCAGCCCTTGCTTTTAATTTTACAAAATCTAGCAGACTTCTGGGCCCTAGAAAAAATTATTCCTATTGATTTTTAAAAAAATTACAACAGGGATATATTTCTACTCTCTCCCCCGCGGGGGCACATACTGAAAATGAAAGCAAACATTGCCAACTCATGTACTTCTAGTCCTGACAGTGATAGTGAATTGGTGCGAATCTCCACCCGAGTGTTGATGAGGACTGTGATTATACCGCGTCGCTTCCCCGGAGGTGCAGGGATGGCTTGAACACACGACTTCAGAACTTGTTTTCCTCCCTGTGATTAAGAATGTTGGTGAGAGAGCCAGAGGGAATCCCGTCTTGTTCACTCAAGACCCAAGAACTGAGCCAGTTATCGGAAGCCTAATAGTCCAGTCAGCACGTGGCTACTGACCAACAAATGTCCGCTCAGTGACCTGGACACTGTAACTTTTGTGCTGTACTTTTAGTATTTATTCATTCACTGAATATTTTTCAGAGCTCACAGCTGCGATTGTGCTAGTTCTAGGGCTGAGAATGCGAGCTGTGTCTTGGTGGTGAGCGTCAAACTGGAGAAGGGCGGACGGGGAGGCGGGCAGTGCATGGCTCAGGCAGGGGGTGGACTGGGTGAGGCTGAGTGGGGGTTGGGGCCAGGTGGTAACGAGCATGCTTGTGTGTTCAGGAGTTCAGGCTCTGGCCCGGGCACATGGGGAGAAGCTGAAAGCAGGATGTGGGAAAGAGGCGAGTTTGAGTTACGTTTTAGAAAGTTGTTCTAAGCTGAGCTTGGTAGTGCATACCTGTAAACCCAGCACGTGGGGCAAATTTGAGCCCAAGCTGGGCAACTTATCTACTTATCTCAAAAAAAGAAAAAAGAAAAGGCTGGAGATGTAGTTTCATGCAAAGGCCCTGGGTTCAGGCTTCAGTCCTGAAAAAGAAGGTTGCTGTAGGTGTTCAGTTGTCCCATCACAAGGAAATGTGAAACTCTGAGGAGTGTGGATGGGGCTGGGTGATATTTAAGCAAGAAGGTGTACCAATGAACCCCGTATAAACTAGCCTGGCAATGTAGTGAACAAGAGCAAAGACTCTGAGAATGGCCCTCAAGGTTCATGTAAGAGTACACTGCCCAATACCCCCAAATTCATTTTGGAACATCTGTGTGATTTTGTTAATCAGCTCGGCAAGAGGCTCAGGTCACCTTGTATTCTGATTGCCTACTCCATGGAGATGTTAGCTTGAGAAAAGAAATTCACTGTACAGGGTTAGTAGTACCTGGAGTAGGTCACCTCTGGGCTGAGCCCCTGCTTCCTTCAAGGTGCTTTTGTTTTCCCTCAGAGTCCTGTGGATGGAGTTAGCATAGGTCAGATGCTCTGAGATTTGTTGTTTCACAAAATGTACTCTGTATGTTTATCGTAGCAAGTGGATAGCTCTTATACCTTGATAACCTAATCCCTGTAATAGGCCAAGTGACATTTCTTTAAGTAAAATAATAGACATGAGGACATTATAGTCTAGAAACGTTTGGTTATTTCATGTGTAGGCAGGTAGCGGGGAGGGGTGGTAATGCAGGAAGACTTCCTCATTACTCTTCTTTTGTGTTACAGATATCTGCACCGACAGGTGAAAGCAGCGTATTAAATATTGACACCGACATAAAAGGAAATTTATTGAGGTGTTGGTTCTGTTTGGCGTAAAATGATCTCTGTGGTTGGAATAGAGGTCTGTGCCAACCTACCTCTGTTTCCTGGTCCAGAAGCTTGTTGTAGTTGCTATGGTGTGTTCAAACACCAACTCCCTGCCACCTGCACTCCTCCTTCATCCACAGACTTTATGTCTGGAAGATCGTATCTAATTAGTAAATTTATGGAGCACATTTTCTTTCTTTGGGGCCTTTGTCTCTTTACTAGCCAGGCCAAGCTGCAGTAATTAACAAACCCCCAAATCTTGGTGTCGTAACAGGTGAGATGTTTTTTTCCTCATTCACACAGTCTGGCAGCAGCCCTTCGCTATCATCGGCTTGGTTTCAGTCTCCCCTTGTCTAGAGAACCATGTTGCAAGCATCCCTGCAGTTTCAGGGAAGGAGCTCAGGGGCATCAGAGCTCCATGCAATCAGAGAATTCTGCCCCTAACAAAATTCAGTGTTTTCACAGCAACCGTAACTCCCAAAGGAGATTAGTAACCCATGGGTGTTTCACAGAGGGTAGTACGATTCCCAGAACACATTAATGCTAGTGAAGCTGATGGTTTCATCCTGAATGTCCTGCTTTCTCACCTCTCACTTTGTGTCTGCTCCAGGCCACTAGAATGCTTGACATTTACGTGTTTAAATTCACACCTGTAACGTGGCTTATTCCTGTTGGTTTCCGCACCTTCCTTCATGCCCGCTTCTAGTCCTACTTCGGTGTAGCTCTCTGAGGGGTCATTTCCATGGCTTTCTTGCCCACAGTGATTTTCAACACAGGCGAAGCGCTGCTACCCCCTGGGGCTGTTTTTAAAGCTTACCCACAGGAATAAATGCATTTTACCCCGGCTCCGGTAATGCTGGACTCAGTGGGGTGCTGGCGGATGTGGGAGTGATTTGGGGCTGGGAAAGACGGTCAGGGGACCCTTGATTTGTTCACAGCCTGATTCAGCCTCTCTCAGCCAGACAGTCGCACCTGCCTCCCTGCCTACCCACTCCCTCCCTGGTGCGGACTGTGTGCTGTGCTCCTGCCGGGGTTTCTGTGTGGTGCAAAGCCCATCTGACCAAATCGTGCGCCTCTTCCTCACTTGCCTCCTTAGTTCTTTCCACAGTAGGAAAAAGCCCAGTGTCCACATTGTGCAAGTCAGAACTTCCAGACTTGGTCTTTGGACTCCGACTCTCTCTCCGCTAGTGTGCCTGCTGCTTTCTGTCCCTCCTATCTGCTGTTCCTCCTCTTGAATTGTCTTCCCGCTTTCCCCCTCAGCCCTCACCTGAGCCGGATTTGTTCTGTCTGCAGCTCGTGATCCACATAGAGCACTTCATACAGTCTCAGGTGATTACTGACCCCCTGTGGGGTGGTTATTCTCCATCCTACTTCCCTTGCTCATCAATATCAGGAAACTTTTCTTCTTAAAGTGTACCTTTATCGTAGGCGCTGCCAGTCCAGGGCTTTCTGTATACCAGGAACTAAGTGATTTATGAGTGAATGAATGTGGAGTCTGTGCTTCGGAGACTGCGTACTTACTTGGTACTGTGCTCTGCTGATCTCGTGGGGTGTATGCTTAGTAGGCTAATGTGACCCCACGGTAACCTGAGTATTGTGTGCAGTGCCCAGGGTGAGAAACTGCAGCATGTTGTGACATGTCTCAGGAGAGGAAGCGGACTCACATAGTATCCTCTTCTGCTATTTAAGCTTTGTACACAAGCACTCCATTTAGCCTCTACCACGCATCAGGCACGATGCTACATTGTGCTTTTAATTATTGTGGTATCCAATTTGCTAGGCTTGTGAGATGAAAACCTCCTAAATACTAGGGAGTGGAGCCTTCCGTTTCAATGTCTCTTTTAAGAAGATGCAGCTAAACAGAGGAGAAAGAGCTGAACTCAGATCTGCCTGATTCCTAAGCCCTATCTCCTCCCAGTGCTGTGTTCTGTCCCAGAGCTGTGTTCCGTCCCAGTTCCCCAGCAGCCTCCGTCTCTGAGGTGCTGGACACGACTTCTTTCTCCTAACGCTCTGCAAGGCATTACTGCCCTTATTTTATGGGAGAGGAAATGGGCTCAGGGAGGTTAGATAACTCCTGCAGGATCAACACAGATCTGTGGCAAATTAACTATGGTCAGACGTTCAGGTCTGCCTGACCCCTGGCCCCAAGGTCGTGCTCCATCCCCTCAGCCGTGGTGTGACCTCGCCAGAGGGCAAAGGCCTGTATGCGGCTTGTGGAAGTTCAGAGCGGTGACGTCTGCAGTGGTCAGGCCAGGAGCTGGTGAGGAAGGCGTGGACGGAGCTGTTCAGGCTCTCAGTCCCAAACGTGCCGAGCATGTCAGCGCTAGGTTCGTGCATTCATTCCATTTGCTAGGATTCTAGTGACAAACACGAGAAAAACAAAAGTCATTTTTAACTCAGTTTGTTTGGAGGAGGGGGAGGTGACAATGGAAGGGTGAGTCGGAGGAAAAAATGGCTGTGAGAAAAATCGGGCTACAACCTGAGCTAGCCGGCAGTTGCTATTTACAAAGCATGGAAAATAAACCAGCTGCCCGCTCAGGTGCGAGGCCACTCATGCAGACTGCCCACCATCCTCCGGACCTACCCCCGCATCTGTGCCCCCAGCCGCTACCCTTCTGTGCCACTGCCGCGAGGACCTCCTGTGGCTCCTCAGGGCTGCTTCAGGCCTTTGCCCTTGCTGCGCCCACTGCCTCGCTTGCTCTTTCCCTTGCATTGGGGCCCTCGGGTCACCCAGAATTTAGTGCAGGTGTCCCCACCTCAGACAGCCCATCCTTGCCTCCCCTTCCCACTCCCTCTGTACATGCCCCGGCCCAATCACAGTGGAGCAGTCAGCATAAGTTAGTAATGAAGAGCGCAGGGTTTGGAACCAGGCTGCTTGGGTCCCGGTCTCAGCTCTGACAGTTTACGAGCTGGATATTTTGCAGCAAGTTTCCTAACCTCTTTGTGCCTCAGGGTTTTCATCTGAAATGGCAAGGATCGTAATAGTGCTTCTGTCTCAGAATGTTCTCTTGCAAGGGTTAACTGCGCTTTTATCCGTGTAGGACACTTAGCACTGGGCATGTGGGAGGTGCGTGATAAAAAACCAAGTGAACAGAGCATCTCGTTTTCATTCACCAGCTCAGTACATGTTGGCTCTGAATACCACAGAATGCGGGCTTGGGACTGCAAGGAGCAGGACCTCGAGATCTCGGTCCCGAGGGGGTTCCTGCCCGTCTAAACCATTTCTTTTGCTGACACAGATACATATTTTGCTTGTGCACTTCTGCCCGGAGGCCGTCTCAATGATAGCTCTTCATTCTAGTTACTGTCCTCCTTGTATCCTATTTCCTGTTCTGGGGTTTATCGTGCCCAGGGGACAGAGATGGCCGGTGCCACATTATGACTTGAAGCGCCACTTACATTGATGCATTTTTATAGCTATGTGATTTAATTGTTGTGTGTCGTCGTATTTCTTTGTATGTGTGATTGTTATGGGGCAGGGTCTTGTGCATAGTAGTAAGTGTCTGCTGCTGTTGCATCCCCCAACCCACTGTCTTTCTTTTTGTAAGCTGGAGTCAGTTACAAGTTTGACTAATGTTAAAACAGTAAAATCTCACCACGGGATGAAGAAAGTAGAATAACAGCGAAAAGGCCTACTTCTCATCCTCTCGTGTCCTCTTCTCATCACTTGGAAGGTTGTTCAGCCCTAAGTGGACTCACTGCTTTCCTGGATTCTACCCAGTTTCTTCTCAGGCCAGATTTCACTTCCTCTCGGAACCCTTCCCTACTTTCCAAGACAGTGGACTTCCAAATAATTCCTTAGGTTGTGCTCACTCTGGCAGCACACACACAAATACTTCCCTGGGTTTCACTATGGGGACTAGCTGCCTACCCCCCTGTCTACCCCATCAGTCAACAAGTGTTGCCCTTCTATCTTGTATCTCCATTGTACCCTGAAGCCAGCAGTACTGTCAGAGAAGTTGTGTTCCCTTTGAGGGTGGAGTAAAAATTGAATTTATGTAGAGGATGAGAACCAACAATGCAGATAAATTTAGACAGCATTTGTGTCATAAAAGGTTTGTTCATTTTATAAATTTTTTGCAGAGCTCCACTGAGGAGGATTATTGCTATAAAAATAAACCTTAGATCGTAGAGGCATAGCATAGCACATACCTGGCAACTTTCTCAACCACATAGCAAGCAGTTCAGTGCAAGCATTGGGTCAGCAGCCCTGCAAATCTCGTGGCTCCGTCATCGCTTGTGCACTTGGGGTCTGCTGCCGGCTCCTTTGCATTTGGCAGATGGGGAAGGGGAGAGAGAGAGAGAGAACTTCTCAGGAAGCTTTCTTGTTGGCCAGGCCTGGACAGGACACACATCACTTCCCATGCTGCTAATGAGCTCAAGCCTGTGGTCACACGAATGGCGAGGGACGCGGGCAGGGGGCCTGGCTGTGTGTAGGGCATAGGCTTTGGTGACCACTCAGAGGCTGTACCACAGCGAGCTTGCCAGAGCCGGGCAGCCCCCGATCGAGCAGGTCTTTGTCTGCACTGGGTCCCAGAGTGAAGGAGTCTCACTGATAGCGGCTGTTTTGGTGTTACAGACAAACTCCTGCGATCAGAACCTAAACAAGTGCCTCGAACTCATTGAGCAAGTTGCCAAAGTACAGGGACAACTCTTTGGGATCCTCACGGCAACGGCCCAAGAAGGTGAGAGTAAGCCGTGTCCCCCCATCACGCCACACCTTCTGGTCTCTCTTTTCTTTGTGCTTTCTCGGGTCCTCGGGTGAGGTGCTACAGCTAGATCTCTCTCACTAATCGGGCATGTACACTGTCTTAGGAGGACGTAACGATGGTGTGGAAACAATCAAGTCACGCCTTCTGCCTTGGTTAGAAGCTTCTTTCACGGCTGCTTCCCTGGGAAGACCTGTCGATAGCAAGGTCCCCTCTCTACAGGTAGGAGGCTGAAGCATGGCCTTTGGCTTTCGGAGCGGTACGATAAGCCAGAACTTCCAAGAAAAGGAGAGAGCTTAGAGTGTCTCGGCTTGGGTTGATATTCCTGGTTTCCATGGGCCAGCAGCAGCATCAAGCAGTTGGAGACTAGAAAGATGCCGTATGTACCTTGCCTAGGGCATCAGCGTCACGGTGTCTGGGAAAACAAAACATCTGTGTAGTAGGCTCTTTCTGTTGTCACAACAGAATACTCAGGCTGGGTAATGTGTAGAGAGGTTTATTTTGCGCACAGTTTTGGAGGCTAAAGTCCGAATGCAGGTGCTGGCCCTCATGGTGGCGGCATCCCAGTGGCAGGAGACCACGCTGCTGGGAGGGGTCATCAGGTGAGACAGAAGGCCAGCGCGCAGGGAGCCAGGCTTGCTCTGTTACAGCAACTCTCTCAAAAACCGAGCCGGGTTCCGTGCAGATGACATCAGTTCCTTTCTAGGGCAGGGCCCTCCATGACCGAATTATTCCCGGCCGTCTCCTAAAGCTTCCACAGCCACTGTCTCCTCACCTCACCGAGGGAGCAACTTCCAACACAGAGACCCCGACACGCACTCAGACCACAGCCAAACGATACTTTTCCTTTGCTCCTATTCTTTCTTCCTTTGCTTTCTTTCATTTGTTTTTGAGACAGAGTTTCATTATGTGGTTTAGGCTGACCTTGAACTCACTATGTAGTCCAGATTGGCCTCAAATGCAGGGATCCTCCTGCCTCAGCCTCCCTAGTGCTGGGATGGTGGCACTCCCTAGTGTGCCACCAACCTGGGTTCAGTAACTAGTTTTTTTTTGGTACCGGGAGTCAAACTCAGGACCTTGTGCCAGGCAGGCACTTGTTCCACTGAGCTACTTTTAAATGTTTAAATTGATTTACATAAATTCTTTTCCAACACTGAAGCAGTTAGAGTAGGAAAGTGGGAAGATCTTATAAGATAGTGGTCAAAGGATTCCTGCTTGTAGATCACTGGGCGGAAGGCCAGTCCCTCCCGCATGGTCCTGGGTCAGGGTCTAAGCTTTTGCACGCAGTTTCTTTACTGGCTGAAAGGGGACAGTGATTTTGATGACCTAATAATGGGGTTATTGTGAGAATTAAATATGAGAAGTGTGGTACATGGTGAGTACTCTGTAGATGTCAGTTGTCATTAAGCGCTTTTTTCTCCTGAGAATTTTTGGATATTTCTCAGATTTTCACTCATTATGGGTGTTATTCTAGGTACAGAGATGTACGATAATATTTGGAAGTCTTTTAAAAGCCAAGTTATAGTCTGTATACAGTAAAATCCACAGGTTGATGCATTTTGACAAATGCATATGTCCATGTAGTGCATACCCTTTCCAAGAGATAAACAGTTCCATCACTCCAGTGTATTCTTTGTGACACCCTCAGGGCGCTACCCTCTGATTTCTGTCATTCTAGATTAATTCTGAGCCTCATGTAACTGGAACCATACATTCCGTGCTCTTTTGTGTGTCTGACTTCTTTTGCTCAGAACAGTGTTTTGGAACCCATCGTGTCCTTTCATGCGTTCAGACTGTTTTTTGATTTGTGTATCTTTCCAGGATACGTTTGATAGAGGTAGACAGAAAGAGAAGGGCCTTCGGGATCAAGACGTACAACAGTTAAACTACAGCTTGAGCTCCACCCGTAGTCAAGTCAACCAGGTTCAAGACGAGTAAGAGGAATGCAAGTTATCTTTCCCGAAAAGAATTGTTCTAAATCTGGAAGGAAAGTAATGTTGCTTATTTGAGCATGCATTGTCAAATAAGTAACATTGTGTGCGTGTGCACGTGTGTGTGTGCACGTGTGCGTGTGCACGTGTGTGTGTGCACGTGTGTGTGAGTGGGTGAGAGGCGGGGCTGAGTTTGGGGTCGGGATGTCTAGTTACTCCGTGGTCTCTGGTCCCTTGGCTCCCGCTCTGGAGCGCCGTCTCCTCCATGGGCTCCTTATCAGCCCATGTTCATGAACGAGTAGAGATTGTCAGTTGAAAATCTAGTGGTTGAGAAGAAAAAATTAAAAACATACAGAATGTGTCTTTGTTCCTTTCCTCATCCCTGAGACACAAACCCAGCACCCAGATTTAAAGAGGTAGAGACTGACTTCGGCTGACAGGCTGGAGATTGCCCCCTGCAGTCCGCGAGCTTCGAGGCAGGGCAGCACGGCAGAGCAGAACCGCTCACTTTTCGGCAACCAGGGAGCAGAGAGAGTCCAGGGCGGAACTGGGGAGGGGACACAACCTGCTGGGTCACGCCCATGGTGAGCCACCTCGCCCCGCCTTTGAGCACATGCGGCTCTGCGGGACATCCAGATACCAACCATAACAACGGGTAAAAGATCAGGTAGATAGGGCAGAGAAGAGGAAGGAGGGCAGAAGTCAGAGGAAGCAGCTGGTGTCGACCTGTTAGATTCTTTTAGGGGCCTCTGTATGCCTGACTGAGAGAATCAGAGGTTTGGTTTTGTTTTTTAAATAACCAGTTCAAGATTTTGGAATTGCTATGAAGTGTAAAAATGTATATAAAGACATTAAGCAATGCTAGGCCACAACAGATACTAAATGCATGCTCTGGGAAGAGTCAGGATAGCAAGGTTAGGGAATCATTGCAAAGAAAACTGCAGACTCTGAGGTGTGCTTGAGAAAGACAAATATATATGAAACTTCACTTGACACATAGTACTAAAGAAGGATTTATCAGTATGACCAGGCATGGTAGCACATACCTATCATCCCAGCTACTCAGGAGGGGAGGCTGAGGCAGGAGGATGGCAAGTTCAAGGTCAGCCTGCATCACTTACTAGGTTGATGTCTCAAGATAAGAAGGGGTTGCGGGGGAGGGGGCGAGGAAGAAGGCGTTTGGGTGTAGCTCAGTGATGAGGTGCTTACCTGCCTAATCTGTGTAAGGCTCTGGTTAAGTCCCCAGCACTACAAAAGAAAAGAACAGAAATCCTTCAACAAGGCATTCCTGCTGTCACGCTTTGCTGCGTGAGTGGGCAGCAGGGAGGCCTGTCTGCATGAATTCAGGCTGTGCCACAGCGCTGAGTGGAGCTCTGCCTTGCTCTCCGATGAGATTTCCTTTCCTCTCCCCACGAGGAGAGTGTCTATTAATTTTGCTTGGTAACCAAAGTAATACAAATTCCTTCTCAAACGCACATAATAAATAGAAATGTAATGATGAAAAACTTACCTGTTGCCTCACCCGGGTTAACATTTGTCATACAACGCAATCTGGAAGTTCTCTTTTGTGAGTGTCTTTATGAGGCATGATCAAAAATGTGGTGAACGTGGCCGGCAAGTGCCATCCAAGGGAAAGGCAGACCTGTAAAAATACTGTCGTGTGTCCTCATTCACCGAATCTGACACCACTGACATCCGAGTCTTCTCCAAAGTCAAAATGACTGTGAAAGGTAAATATCTTGAATTGATTGAGGATGTCAAGGCAACCATGACACTGCAACTAATGTCACTCATGAAACAGGACTTCCGTAGTGCTCCAGAGAATAGTAGGAACTATAAAGACAAGCACGTTTGAAGTGAGGGGAATATTTTGGGAGGGGTTAGTGGCAATACATCTTTTATTGTAATGTATTCTAAAAAATTTAAACACTCACTATATTTGTGTTTTACTCCGGAGATTTTGTGTCTGCTACACTTCTACCTGGAATCATAGTCATTGTACAGTTGTCACACAGTCATTGTACAGTTGCGGCAGTCCACCTGTCCCACTATAGCATGCAAACAGCATAATTTCTCTGAATCTCTGCAATTTATCTCCGCCCATGTCAGCTGATCCTTTAATTTGCCACATGTGCATAAGAGTCCCTGTTAGGTAAAATGTACAGTTAGCGCCCAGTGCAGACTTCCATTCCAAGCTGCTTCTGTCCTCTCACGGGGACTCCTTTCCCCTGCTCTTTGCTGGTACTGGAACTCAGGATAGCAGTGCTGCATGTTCTCCTGGTGCTGTGGTGAGGCGTGTGGCTTTGTAGTGCTCTCTCCATTCTTGCAGGCCTGGGTCCTCCTGAGCGCTGTGTGCTGATGGTTCCTGAGTTGTGTCTTGTCTGTAGGTTTCCTGGGATATTAGCTGGCAACTGCTGCAGGTGACGAGGGCCCACCTGTGGTTATGAGGCAGGGCTTCAGGACTTTGCTGGTCTTGATGTGTGTTTGCACTGCTGGGACCAGGATTTCCCACCTCCCTTGCTTGTTACAGTGACTTCCCATAAGGGGCACTGGGGAACCAAGAAACTTTTGTGAATGCATGCCCTTTTTAAAACATTGTTTGGAAATTATTTCAAATGGAAACTTTGCAAGACTAGTGCTATCAACACACCCTTTTGTATGCTTTTTGTTTTATTTCCTTTATGATTTATGTGTGTGCTTTATCTATATATGGTGATAACTCTGTTGAATTCAATTTGGCCCACATTTGTGTTTGAACACCGAAAAATTCAAGAACTGAACATATTTTTCCCATAACAAATAATGGAAAACCAAATAATTGGTTCGAGGGCCTAAAATTACACTTATAAATTCATTTTTCCAGGATTTTAACAAATTTTGCAGTGATGTCTTCCTTTAACTCTATCATGGTTCTCACAGTTTTCCTCTTAGCTTTCCTGCTGGTATCTCTAACTTCTTTGGAGCCATGGTTATGATAGTTTATGCAAATCAAGTGGAAAAGAGAAGCACACTGACGAACGCTTTAAGGCACCAACATAAACACTTTGTTTTCTGGGCCAGCGTGGCCCTTAGACTGCGGCAGCACCCTCTGCGTCCGCGGCAAGTCGCAGTGCCTGACTCACGCTCAGCCCGTACAGGTTTGGTTCGACTGCTGATCAGAGTTACCAAACTGAGCAGGTTTGGGAACGCTGCTGTCTGCGTGGTGGAGAGTTGGAGCTTGGCGCTGCTGGGCAGCTGGGGCATCACTGCGCGTACTTTTCCCCTCCCGGAATCGTCTGAAAGTTGCGCACACGAGGATGCTTGCTGCTTTCCTCCGAACTCGCTGAGTTGTAACCCGCTGTGGTTCTTACTCTGTGCTTCTGTCTGCTGTGTCCTGAGGGCTGGGGTCTGTTCCCAGACTGGGGCGGCCAGCGCCCTCCTCGCTCCTACTGCTTTTGTTTGTTAAGGCCAGGTACTGCCTGTCCTGCAGTGAGCGGCCCAGACAGGGAGTTCCCCAGCTTGAGCTTCGTGGGGACCAGTTTGATTCTGACTCAGCTCCAACCTGTAGGGCTGATGAGGGGACAGACCTGCGCAGGGTTGACGAAACCCCGGACAAGGAAAGACTCACAGATTTTATCCCTGGGCTCTGGTTGTGAATCTGGCTTTCCCTCATCTCGTGTGTCCATTCTGCTGGACTGTGCGGTGGATCTGCTTCCAAAGCACCTTCCCCACCTGTCCCCTCTCTCCGTTGCACTGCTGTTGCCTCGGTTCGAAGCTGCGATACCTCTGATGTCTCTGCCCAGCACAGTTGTCTTCCACCTTCCGGCTTCCCTGCGTCCGTTCTTCATTACCTTCAAACCGTCTTCCACACAGCAGGTGCATGTGAAGTGTGTCGGTATCCAGCCATCCAGCTGGAAACTGTTGGGGTCTTCCTCCTGTGCACGGAAGACAGTCCTAGCTTTCTGTGCCCTGCCGGATCCGGCCCTGCCTGCACTCCTTTCTCATGTCATGCCCTCCCTCAGCGTGGTGCCTGTGCCGCTGGCTGGAAAGAACTTTCATCTGTCACTGGCTCTTTGCGTGGCTGACCCTTCGTTACGCTCCATGTCTCAGCTTGAATGTGACTGTCGGAGTCTGTGCCCGTCTTAGGTTGAGAGGTCTTTCTTCATTTCTCTTTTACTTCTCTTTCACAGTGACCTGCTTTTCTCCTACTAGCACTTACACAAACAGACCCGAGTGCACATTTATGGTCCCTCTTCCCCTGGAGCCTGGAAAATGTCCACGGCCAGCATTGCCATGTGGTGCTGTTACGTTTCCAGAATTCTGACGGGCAAAGTAAGTTCTCAGTCACTTGCATTACGAACGAATGAATCCACAGCCAAACATTTAACGAAAATGTGTTAACTTGATTAAAACAGTTCTTGGCACGTGAATGTACTTCTTTCCCTTTTCTCTGTATGTCATCCAGGCAGGTGAAATTTGTGTGTGTTTGTTTTTTATGTATATGAGCTCATGCATATATGCTGTGTGTCAGGAGGAGAAAATACTCGCTCCTGTTCGTTCTCTCCTTCCTTTCCTGATCCATTTTCTTTGCTTTTCATTCTCTACAGTTCTTGATAAAATATTCATTTTCTCATATTTACTTAAAACCAATAACATACTCATATTTGAGTGAAATCACGCTGATTTCAAGTTTCAGCAACTATTCTGTGAAGTTGTTGGTATTTTGTCTTTCTTTTAGATTTCAGACATTTTGTTTATTCTTTTATTTTTCATTTTTAGAAAAGATCTTTTGTGACAGGCACTAGTTGAATTGTGGGGTAAAGACAAAATCCAGTCCTTACCCTCAGAGACTTTTTGGTGTAAATGCAGTGAGATAGATGTGACGGAGTTCCGGAGAAAGGGAGACACTCTGTGTTTGAAATCAGGGCAGCATGTGGAGTGGCGGAGGAGCGGTGGGGTGGAACTTGGGGTGATTTTCTGTTGCCTGTGATCTGTGAAATTGATAGGAACCTCCTATCCCATTGTTTCTTGATCAGCTTCACTATCCAGGTGAGCATTTGTGTTAGATTTCCTTGACAGTGACATAATACCTGAGGTAACTTAAAGCAGGAGAGATTTACTTTGGCTCCTGGCTCAGCCCACGGTCACTTGGCCTTGTTGCCCAAGGCCTGTGTCAAGGCCAAGTATCATGTGGGGGGCATATGGTGAAATAATGGGGGAGGTAGAAATAGAAACGGAATTCCTGACCCGTTAGATGTCAGCTGTGCCAAGTTCGCGGTCTCACAGCTTTGAGGAATAAGGTTGAGAACCAAAGGAAGAGGTTAGGAGAGTTTTGCTGGAAGTAATAGGAAGAAGAATAGCTCCTGGATTTCCGGGAGGGGTCCTGAAGAGGTGGCCACCAAAGCCCTTTGTAAGAGTGATTTAGTTTTTAGGTTTTTACTTTTGAGATAGGGTCTCACTAGGTAGTTCAGGCTACCTTCAACCTGCTGTGTAGCCCAGGTTAGCCTTGAACTCATAGCAGTCCTCCTGCTTCAGCCTCCCAAGTGCTGGGATTACAGGCATGAGCCAGCATGCCTGGCTCTATAAGGATAATTTATACAGCAAAGTCGCAGTGTAGGTACAACATAGATACACCTACAATCAGCCTATAGGATTACAAGTATAGCTACTTAGCTAATATTGGTCCAGTAGGTAAGTGGGGCATGTAGCAAGGGTAAAAGGGAAGGACACAGCATTTTGAGGGAGGGATGGTTCCAGATGCCCTGGTCACCGACCTGGATGCCTTATGTCTGTCTGGACTTTCTGGGCCAGGTGGTGCTAATTGCACTATGATTCCAAGTTACTGTTTATCTCGTAGGGAGGATGTAAGCCTGGCTATGGCGTGTTTATCTGGAGGCCTGGCCTTCTCTAGATGTGGCTGCAGTCACAGTTCTGATGTCTGTCTTTTTGTGCTGACTTCCTGGGGTCCAGTTTCTTTCTGACTGTGCGCTAGTTTTTGTCTCACGTAGCTGTCTGTAATAGTGCCGCCAGCTGAGGACCAGGCTTTCGGTATATGAGCTTTGGGCAGACGGGATCTAAGCCATAGCAGGGTCGCCTCAGGCCTGTGTGGTGAAGGCACAGGTCAGAGAAATAATACCCATGCAGGCCCGCTGAGGGCAACTTCATTTTCGTCCCGTGGTGTCCATCCCACTCCCATTTGTTTTTAAGTTCAGACAGATGTAAAGAAGCAGCGTGCTTCGTTAACGACCAACCTGCAATAAAGTCCTCGAAACTAAGCATGGCAGCAGCTGTGTGGAAACTCAGGGCATGTTGCTCAGTAACTTGTAGAAGTCAGAGGCAGAAAAGGAGGAAATACTTGTAGTCAGTGTGATTGGGGAGGACTTTCTTCAGAGATGGGCAAATAAATTTTTTATATTTAAGAAGTCTGGGAAAAATCAGTCCAAGGTAGCCCCATAGTGCAAGGCAGTGAGACTAGATATTGGTATATTGCTGAAAAATAGAGATTTATGTGGAGAGGCACCTGGAGATTGAGTGTGATTAGAGTGGATGAATTAGGCTGAGAAGGAGGAATTGAGCAAGTTTCCTTGTCTTTTATGTTCTAGCATTAACACTTAGTGATAGTCTTTTAGGGTACTAGTGCTGTGACTTCTTTGTGTTTGACACTGAGCAAAGGCTGCTAGAATGTTTCTGCATACACGTCCAGCACAATATTTGCAAGATCATCTGATGAAGTGCAGATGTCTTATAATTCGATTTTGTTTATGTTGAATTTATATCATATGTCAGAAATTCCCAGGAGAACCTATGCCTTGATTTGGAAAGCCTGCCAATTTTGAAAAATCTGTCTTTAGTTACTGATTTCTCTTACAGTCTGGCTGAAACTGGAAAGGCTGTTGAAGAAACCAAGAAGAGCTCGGCCATATCCCTTTTGGCTGCAGAGGAGGAAATAAATCAGCTAAAAAAGCAGTAAGAAAAAAATGATAGGATTATTGCAGCCTGCTGATTAATTATTGAATTTAACTTTTTTGGCATCCCATTACTGCATGAAAGAATCTGTTCTCAATCAAAGAGAAAAGGCAGCAATATTTTTAATTAATGTCTCATGTATTTTTCATACTGCAAACATAGTATCTATCTACTAGAGACATAAGATAGTTTGGTTTTTTTTTTTTTTTTGGTACCGGGAATCAAACTCAGGACCTTATGCTTGCCAGGCAGGCGCTTGTGCCCTGAGCTATGTCTCTGGCCACAAGATAGTGTAAAGGAATCTGAAAACCTTTCCATAATTCTAAGGATAGTTACTGTTACCATTTGATATTCCTTCTAATTAATATATCAAAAAGTGAAGAATACAAAATAATAGATACAAGGATAAAGTTTTGGATCTTTTCATTTACATTAGCTTCTTGTATCACTTAGGAAAAAACACTACAGAGCTTAGTTTGGATAGGTTCATAATTTCCCATTATTTGGATATTTCACTTATTTGAATATTAACTTGGATACTAATTTTCAGTATTGGAAACAACATTGCGGAAAATTTTACTTTAAATTTCATAGCATTTCCTAAAGATCGGTTTCTAGAACAGGAAATAAGAACAGATTCTTTAAGCCTGTACCTTTCTTGATCTTAATTGTGATCCCCCTCATACCTGCACACACACCCACATTTTCATACCTGTGTCTTTTGTTCTGATTTCTTCAGAAATTCCTATAAATCTTACCTTGGAACACAATTCTATTTCCTACCTCGATCTTCTCCCTCACCATCATTTTAGTCTCTGTTTCCTATTTGGTACCTTCTCAAATGCACTGGTCATATTTCTCCTTGATTCCCATAGCTCCTGTTCCATTTTTTTACTGTTTTTTAGTGTAGCTTTTGGTCCCATTATATTTTTAGCTTCTCTGCATTTTTCTTAATCTTACCTCTTGCCTTTTCATTTTATACCGTTGTCATTTTCATCGCAGTGTGTTCTCTTATCATTTTTGCTTCTGTTCTGGGTTGACCATACCTCTTTGGATCTTAACAAGAATGCCAATTTTTTTCTAAAAAATTTTGTTGCTGTACTGTATTATTTTCATAGATCCACACTTCCAGCTCGTTCTGTGAATAACCTTCAATTTTCATTGTCATTCCTTACCTTTAAAGCCACCTGTTCTGAGAACTAGTGAGGGTAGGAGACTGTATCTTAGACCAGCTCTGGTCTAGGTTTTGAGGGTCACATGTTTCCAGAGTTTTGTGAAGTTGAGAGGAGTCCGGTGTGCAGCAGTATGACTAGAGCCACACCATTTTTTCTGCGGAACCTGAATGCATATTCTTTCTCTAGAAACCTTTTCCCACGCAAGCAGCAGATGTGTACTGGGACCTTGACTCGGGCAGTTCTGTTCCCGTCTGCTTCGTGTTTGTCCGTGTGTCCCTCCAGCAGTGCTCTAATGCAGTAATGGCACACTGAGTCACAGCTAATGATGTTTAGCACACCAGTGGTTGCTTATCACCCTTTCTTCCCTTCCCTGTCCCTCCTCTCTGCTCCCTCTGTCCCTCTCCCTTCCCTTCCCCTTCCTTTCCTTTTAAATTTTCCTTTCTTTATTTTAAAAATAAAAGGAGGAAAACATTAACAGACAGACAGCGTTTTACAAAATAGCAAAAGAACAGTACAGACAATACGGAGTTACAAAGTGGTAGGAAATTAACAATGTTTATTGTATCACATATTGATATCTTCAAAGTGGTTTCTCATGAAAACAGATAGAGACATGCAATACTGATCAACCAAGGACTCACTGACAGTTTCTTTCAGCAAAGAAATAGAAGACAGTAGAACAACCATGTTAACTATCCTGTATATACATACATACAGAATTTCTCCTTCTTTCCCTTCTCTTTTCCACATCCCAATTGCCCTTTACCCTTGAGTGTTTACCTTTCATTTCACAATGTCTATCATACTTCCTCCTTTTAAATTTTTATGTCCTTTTCTCTCCCCCCAACGCCCCATTGTTCAGGCTTAAATCCCTTCAAGCCCAGGAGGCCGCCCGCCACAGGAGCTGTGCACCTAGGCAGCAGGAGCAGTGCAGAATTGAGCAGAGGGGTTTGGCCAGGCAGAATACAGATCAACGAGACGCAGAGGCGTACGGGGTCTATGAGAAACAGAGCCAAGACATGAAAGACGAAGTAGCTGTCCTGTCTGCAGAAAAATCTGGTCGCCAAGGAAGGTCAGACAAATTCTCATCTCTCTTTTCATTTAAGCTGTCTTTGCTGAGTTAGTAGAAAAGCCTGGGTGAGGGGTTGGGGGTTAAGTTAAAATGACATAAACCAAACCCCAGTGGTCTGGCTTTGCCTTGTAAAGGGATTGATTGATTGATTGATTGATTGATTGATTTATGCTGGGGATCAGACCCAGGGCCTTGCTCATGTCAGGCAAGAGTTCTACCAGGGAATCTCAATTTTAGAGATTTCCTTTAACTGCACCTTTCCAGAGAGAGAACCCTGTTGGATTGCAGTACTTGGACAGTGATGTGTGTTGAGCTGAGAGATGTGGGCAGGAAGAGTCTTCGGCTTGAAACTGGGCTGTGTGGGTTGATGATGCAAGGGTTGTCCACACTGAAGGAATGCTCCATCATGTTAGGGTCCTTGTTTCTGAGGCTGGAGGGTGCTTGGAGACAGCTGTCCACTTCTGTGCACGGTGTGTCTTTTGCTCACCTTGTGGATGGCACGTGGGCGGAAGGTTCCTGCACAGTCCTGCTGCTGAGGGCGGGTGTTGAGGCAGGTTACTCCCACGGTGAAGGCACAGCAGCATGCTCGCGTCTCGGCGTTGCCCTTATTCTTCCTAACCCTCAGCTCCCAGTATGCCCCAGTTCACCTCCTACCACCTGTCCTGGTCCCCCTGGCACCACCCGAGTCGTTCCTTTCTAGGACTCGCTCTGCCTGTGCTGTTCTGGTGCATACTAGTACGGGCTCCCAGGAGCGTGAGCCTTTCTGTGCTGGGGTGTGTGTTTGTGCCTCGGGAACTGGCAAAGACTACAGACAGAGCTTCTCCGCCTCCCACCAGAGCCCCTGACCAGCCGGTCACTACGGTGTTTTGCACAACCTCTGCCCCGTACTTTCCTCTATGAAGCTTCCTTGTGGGGCCCCATTCTTCTGGGCTGAGTAGTCTGACACTTTATTTTGTCCGTGGCAGCCATCTGCTCACCCCACAAGGCCCGTGGGGTGCTGGTGTGCCGTGCTAGACGTGCCGTCGCTTGCCCTCTCCTCTCCCCCTGGCTCTTGCCAGCCGTGTAACTCCAGGGTAGTCTCTGAAATTTTTCAAGACTGCATGTTCCTCCTCTGTAAAGCAGCCAACAGTCAAGGCTGACCTCACAGGGTTGTTCAGAGGGCAGAGCGAGGTGCCGCATGACCGAAAGTGCTCTGTCAAGTCCAAGACGCTGTGTCGATACGCATCTTCTTGTTTTGTGGCCTCTGGAATCAAGTGCCTTCTGCCGGCCTTGGGGGAGGACATCACAGGCAGCCGCTTGCCCTGCCCTGGAGGACGCTAGCTCCTGTTTGTCATTTACAGATTTGGTGGGTGAAAAACCAGAGTCCGGGCTGACGGACAGAGCAGGCCCAAGTGTTTCTTCCCTGGCTGATTCTCGCTTACCGACAGGTCATCCAGGAACCAGTCTCCTAACCCTGAGGCTCAGGGCCGCAGTGACAACTACGGCCGGAGCAGGTCTGCCAGCCCCTGCACCGCCATCGCCAAGATCAGAAGCCCGTCACCAAATCGGTCCAGACTGTCCAGTGTGGCTCGCAAGGCCGCCCTCCTGTCCAGGTTCAGCGACGCCTATTCGCAAGCCCGCTTGGACGCACAGTGCCTGCTGCGGCGCTGCAGTGTCAACACGGAGACCGTGCAGCGGATCATCTACATCGCCACTGTGGTGTGTGGCAGGGCTGGGGCCGGACCGGGTGTCCCTGAGGGCGGCGGGGGCAGCAGTTTGGTGAAGTCGTGGTGCAGCTTTAAGACTGGAAGACCCGAGGTCGCTGAATGGGGGAACTCTGTGGTCTCTGCACTTGTCCGCTCTGTCGCTCCCCGCCTTCCTCCCACTTCCTTCTTTCCTTTTCCTTTCATCACACACACGTGAGTGTGAAGTGCTTTTCACAGCCAGTGAGCTTTCATGCATACATTAATATTCATGTTGGCCGACACTTGTTCAAAGAAGCGTCCGAAAGTGCAGAACTGCCTCCAGGGGTACTAACGAAGTTGATTTGCGCGGCCCTTTCGTTTAAATGCCCACAGAGCACACAGTAGATACGTCATGCAAATAGCTGTCGCTTGATTGGTTTCCTGCAGAAAGATTAGCGATGGTAATTGTGTTAGTGCTTCTGTTTGTTTAATGAAGAATAGTTACTAAGACTGCCAGTGTACCCGCTACTTGAGTGTAGTAAATGAAAAATGTACACGAGCGTGACCCTTAGTTCCCAAAGTGAGTGCATCTGTTCCAGGGTAGATGCCGCATTGAGACACTGAGTCCATGCTGAGAATAATGAAATGTTAGAAGTGAAGAAGTGTTAGCATGAGCATAGAAGGATCAGAAGTCACATACTTACTCATTTAAGCAAACTGTGGCCTATGAACCACATCTGGACTCTGTATCTAAGAATGCTGCCTAAGAGCTAAGAATGTAAGAATGGTTTTATATTTCTAAAGGGTTTTAAGGAAAAAATGTAGGACAGAGACTGTTTTGCTGGTAAAGCCCAATATTTACTGTGTGGCATTTGATAGAACAAAGTTTGCCAAGCCCTGATTTATAGAATTAAGAATCAGATTACTGAGCTGGCTAAAGCTGGGTAGGCATGGAGACCATGTCTTTCTTACATAACTAAATATTCCCAGTGCCTACTATGATAGGTGTAATAAAATTTTTGAATTAATATATGCCAGGAAGCATGCCTGACTCTTGTTACATGTTTATGTATAAGATAAACATTAGACTGATAATTTTATTTCCTGGTTACTAATACAATGTTGCTATGGAATGATAATAGGGTTTTTATTCTTGAATCTTTGCACTGTCCTTCCTATATTCCGAATTAAGAGAAAAGTTGTCTTGAAATAGTGATGTAGATTTTCATGTAAATATGCGTGTACTTTTCAAATTTAAGGTGTATTTTCTGTCAGATTAAAAATGCTTTGGATCAAGCTGAGCATGGTGGCACATGGCTGTATTCCTAGCACTTGGGAGGCTGAGGCAGGAGGATCGTTGCAAGTTCGAGACCAGCCTGAGCTACAAAGTGAGCTCAGGCTAGCTTGAATTGCATAGCGAGACCCTGTCTCAAAAAGACCCCCCCCCAAAAAAAAAGCTTTGGATCAACTGCACATAGTTCTCCAAAGACTAACAAGAAGTTGAATTGTTTATTCTTTCTAATTTCTTTCTTTGGACCTCCTTACCCTCCTCCTCTCACCAGACAAATCTGCTGTGTTTTCATGTGCAGGAGGCATTCCATGTGGCTAAAATGGCATTCAGACACTTCAAGATCCGGGTGAGGAAGTCAATGACACCATCTTACGTGGGGTCGAATGACTTTGAGAATGCTGTCATGGACTATATTGTTTGCCATCTTGATCTATATGATTCCCAAAATAGTGTTAATGTAAGTATTAGGTCTCTCGTTAGGACCAGTTGGTGACTAATGAAGTTTCTATTGGACACTGATAAATCAGGAACCCATCAACTATTTAGTATTGCTTTTCTATATAATGGAAACAAGGAACAGAATTTAATTCAGTTTGTTTCCCTAGTCGCTGTTGGCTACTTTTTAAAAGACATTTTTACGGAGAAAGCTGTTTTACTCTTATTATTCTGTTAGATGGGTCTTTAAGATTGGGAGGTAGAGTATCACAGTTCTTGAGAGCACGCGCTTTGAGAAGTAAGTGTGGCTTTGCCCTCTGACTCTGCCACTTGATTACTGTGTGATCTCTCTTCTTTCATTTTTTAATCTTTATATGGGAGCAGCAGCGGTTACCTCATAGAGTTAGTGAGAGGATTACATGACAGAAAGCAGGTTCCTTGCTTAGTACAAGGCTTGGTACATAGCGATCACTCATTAAAAGTAAGCTATTTTAATTATTATTATGGATTAGGAGCAAGTCGGAGTTCCATGCTGAAACCTGTTCACTCACCCAGAACAGAAAGAACAAGAAAATGGTTTGCAAAGAGAAGTTGCGGGTGTTTTCCCCTTAGTTTTAGAGGGGCTTTCTTGGGCACTTGCATGTCTGTGCTGTGCTGTCTCCCCCTTTTATTAATGACGGCATCCTCTTCCTTGTAGGATATATACTGTCGCCCTAGCTTAACTTATTATTCCATGCTCTTTTCCTACTTCCCATCGATCGCAATGATAGTAGAGTCCCAGGTTGTGAGGCGTCTTGTCACAAGTTGGCAACCAGTTAATGCCATCTTTGGTTTTGCAGGATGTGATCCGTGCCATGAATGTCAACCCCAAGATCTCATTTCCTCCCGAAGTCGACTTTGGCCTCCTCAGTGAATTCATCCAGGAGATATGCTGTATTGCCTTTGCCATGCAGTCGCTGGAACCGCCCCTTGACGTCGCCTTTGGGGCCGATGGAGAGATTTTTAATGATAGCAAGTAAGAGACCTAGAAGCAGAAGCTACGGGGCCCCTCACTCGTGCTGTCTCTGTTCCCTGAGAATACTTTGGAGGAAGGAACGCTGGGTGGGGGACATCAACAGCCAGCACTTGTTTCCCAGGATGTGCCGTGTGCTGTCTTCTGTTCCTGGGCCCATCCTCCTCCACTGGGCGCCGTGGCTGCTAGGGAGAGCTAAAGCATACCTGGAGCCTGTCTGGGACAGTTTAAAAGAAAGGAGCTTTGTAAACACAGATGTGTATAACTTTTTTAGTGCATTATTTAGGCCAGGGTTCTCCATGTATGTGGGTCACCTGCATCAGAATCACTCAAAGTACTTATTAAAAATGCACAGTCCTGCCCCACATTCCATGGTGTTCCGCCCAGCAGGTCCACAGCAGAGCTCGGGAGGCTGCAGTCGAACAGTGCCCAGGTCTGCCTAATGCACACTCATGTTGGTAGTGAGGGCTCTGGGTTCTTACCTGGGATCATTGCTTTCTACTTAGTTTTGCCTGGTAAATATTCTCCTTATAAATCCGGGGAAACTAAATTAAAACATTAATTGAAATTAAATGAAATGTTAGCAATAGGAAGAGATCAAGTTAATGGTTAGGCATAGCAGCTCTGTCTCAGGCTGCTTTCACCACCTACGAGCTATGTGATTCCAGGTGTGGTATGCATTCTATTACTTATGAGGTTAGCTGAGAGAACTTAGATAAAGTGCACTGGGTGTTGCCTGGCATGCAGTGAATGCTCAGGAAGTAGAGGCTGTGGCTCTTGGTTTATCTGTAGAGTTAGGAGGATAACCTAATATTCCAGCAAGCTTGTTGATGATGGAGACCATATTCCTTTCTTTCATTCAGGTGATTACAGGCAGATGACAGCAGGCCTGGGCTTTCTGGTTGCCTTATAGCACATCCCTGATCTTTTTCTAGTTTCTTCCAGGTCATGGACCCAACATGCATCCACTTGTGGAAGAGCAGGAAATTAGAACATTACCCTGCAGCTGGATCTTTCATTATTCTCTTCTAGAGCATATTATCATCATCCATCTTCCCTGGTTTCTCTCCCCTTGGGAGGATGGATAGTACTACTTGGAAATGCTCACTCATTTAATTTGTGGAATCTGCACATTTCACACACCTCTGTTGGACCTCCTGATTACACATATACCTTTAACCAGTGGGCAAAACGCTGTCTTTTGTGCCTGTCTTTCTGTGCAGTAGAAGCTGGAATTCCTAGAAATGACTGGATTTGATTTAACGGTCAACCCTCTGTATCTATGGATTTCCCTTGTGCAGAGTCAACCAACTAGGGACTGAAAATATTTAGGGGAAATTTGCTTCCGTATTGAACGTATAAAGAATGTTTTTCTTGTTACTCTCTAAACAATGCAGGGTACCAACTGTTTACATGACAGTTACATTGCATTAGGTATTATAAGCAATCTGGAGATGATTTAAAGTATACAGGAGGATTGTGTAGGTTATATGCAAATACTGTGCCATTTTATTTTTTTTTATTTTTTATTTTTTTGGTTTTTCTCCGGTACCAGGAACTGAACTCACGACCTTGCGCTTGCCAGGCAGGCGCTTTGCCGCTGAGCTAAATCCCCAGCCCCTTGTGCCATTTTAATAAGGGACTTGAGCATCTGTAGATTTTTGTTATCCTTGAGGGGTCCTGGAACCACACTCTGCACAAGGGACCACTACACTTCTGAAATTTCACTAAACAAGCCGAATCCTTTGTCACCTGCCACCCCTTCACACATTTGTGAAATATGATTTCACACATCAAGCAAATCCTCCTCTTTGGCTTCATGGCTTTGGGTTTTTTTCAAATGGAGTGAGTTAGAGACTTTTTAGAAATAGATCTGTTTCCTTGGCCTGTGCTTCATGCTTTGCTGAATGTTCCTTTTAACAAGTGTCCACTCTAGTTTGAACCAACCAATTGAGATGGACTAACACCCTTTTAATTCTTATTCCTTATTAGTTCAGCTAGTTTACAGTTTTTTACTTTCTTGTTTAAGCCTTAAAACATAGTTGACTCATTTGAGTACAACTGAAACATTCTGTTTTATCTTCAGTTATGCCGTGACTAAGCTATGTATTTCCTCTATTTATGCAGTTAAATGCTTTTTAGACTTCACTGCAGGATTGCATACGTATTCATAATGTATTTGACCTGATTCTATCCAACTATTTCTGGACTGTTTTATTATATTTTTTGATACTAATTCTTATTTTTCCTATTCACCCCCACCTTTGAGCATATTTTTTATGTTTCATACACATCACTGATAAACATTTGGACTTACAGATTGAAAGAGAGTCCTCAGATCCTCACCAGGTTGTTAGTGATATATTAAAATTATCTCTCCTCAGATAGGATCATCAAACATGCTTCTGGTCCACCTACTTTTAACCTGCTTAACCCACCTATATTTCTTCCATTTGTTCCCACAGAGGTAGCAGGACAAGTCTTATAAGAAGTCTTACGGGACTTCAGAAGTCTGTGTTGCTAGCGTGTCCCTATATTACAACTGTTACAGTCCTGAGGAGAGAAGAAATAAGATTAGTTGACATGAGCTGGTCTCAGTGAGTCAATGCTCGGTCCTAGATTTCATTAGTTCCTATTTTAAGAGCCACCACTATCTCTTTAATAACAGAATCTGAATCCATATTTATCTAGATCTAACATAAAATATGGAACTTTACACTGAGGCTCCTCCCAGTTATGCTGCCTCATGGCTTAACTTCTTTTTCTGTTCTTTCGTGAATTTACACAGGTACCGCCGCAGCTATGACTCCGACTTCACGGCTCCCTTGGTCTTCTATCACGTGTGGCCTGCTCTCATGGAGAACGACGGTGTCATTATGAAGGGAGAAGCCGTCACCAAGAGAGGGGCTCTTGTACGGTGGCCTTGCATAGTGACAGTTTATCCCCACTGTTCGATTCACAAGTTTGAGAACATTTATAAACCCAAAGATTACATAAAAGAAGTTGATAAAGAGCAGTTTGATAAGGTGTCATACAAAGGAGAAGCAGGAGATGGCTTTGGAAAGGCAGCTTCTTTTCTTTGGGTTTTCCACGATTCCTCACAATTAACTGGCTGTAGTTTTGTTGTTGCTCTGTTTGTCAGATACACCTAGTCATAGTAACATCCTCCGTCGTAGACATAGTGTGATATCGTAAGTGCAGTGCTCTTTGCCCACATCACCCTGGAGGCTTTCTGTAACAGTGTTTAAACATGATCAGTCAGCTTTGAGGAAACTGTTGGCCAGTTTTTACTGATAATTCTCTGTTTTGGGAGACTATAACTGTACTCTGCTTTTCTCTCCTTTGTACGATATGTAGGGAGAGCAGGATGGGGAAAAGGGGTTTCTCCACAGAGCTGGTGTGGGGAGGGTCAGTCAGTTCTGGGAGGTTGCTTCTTACAGACACTGGCTAGAAAAGGTTTAGAACATGCTAGATAATTGAGCAGTCTTCAAAATGAAGTTTTAGGTGTATAAGTGGATGCCTGTTGTAGTAGGAATTGTGTGCTGGAACCGGTGGCCCCCGGTCCTTAGATAATCTGCATAGTTCACGGAATGTAGTATTTACCTTTGCCTTCCCTAGAAAGAGTTAGTTAGATTGTGAAGGCAAGCGCCTTAGTCCAAAGCAAGGCCGCTGTCTGTGGGGTCTCTCATCCTACGCTCTTGGAGCTGGACAGTAGGGGAAGTGCTTCATGGCAGCATGTAGTGGAGAAGGGGAGTAGTTTATTTTTAAAGAATTTAAGAAAAGGGTTTTTGTAGCTTAAAAATTCCATTACAGTGACTACGATTCAATAAAACGTGTTGTGCTGTGAAAGTTGAGCCCGTTAAAACTGGGTTCTTTTGATGTGACAACCCCCACACTCTACACTGAATGATCTCATGAAATATGCTTCTTGCCTCTGCACCAATCACTCATTACTAAGAAACTCTTACCTGCAGTGGAGAGAGAAGAAACAGCCGCTGTCTGCTGTACATCAAATAGCACTGCCTTTTTAACCTTCTTCTTCTGCCCCATCAAACATGTCACCGACATGTGCCCAAGCTTAAACCCCCAAACAGAATGGAAATACCCTAAAAGGAAGAGTGTGGAAAAGAAAAAAGTTGAACGAAGGGAACTTTTCAGGCAGGATTTTACTTGTAAAATCTCATTTTAGTGAATATAATTTTCTTTCTTTGCAAAGATTATTGGTACACAATAAGACGAGCACATATGTAATATGTAAAATTTGATATATAATTCTCTCATTTACTTAACTGAAGAATGGGTGGGAGCAGTTATGTTTTATTAATTTGATTTGATGATATTTACTTATTCAGTAGTTATTTATGACCCAAGTACCGTATTTAGGTGCTAGGGGATTTGACAGTGAGTAAAACAGACGCAAATCCCTGCCCACCTGGATCTCACATTCGCTAACACGTGCAAACTCAGGTGTTAGATTTCCAACAGCTTACTCATGAAACACTCTACTGCCATCAAGAATGGGAACATCCCGTGTTCATCATAGTGGTATTTTATTTGAGAAGCTGTTGCTCCATACCGGGCGGCTTTAGGAAATGAAGGGAGCACAGCTCGTGCTGATAGTCAGTCACAGGAAGGTGCAATCCTGTCAGCGAGGCTGGCGTTGGATGGCGTGTGTGTGCTGTGTCAGCGAGGCTGGCGTTGGATGGCGTGTGTGTGCTGTGTCAAGCCATGACAGCCTTTGGGCGCTCTAACTTTTTCTGTCTTTTTTTTTTTAGTGGAATTCGGTGCGTCCCCTAAGTCGCTGTCGAAGCAGGAGTTTAAGTCCCATTTACTCCCGTAACCGCATTGGTTTAAGCACGGTACTTATCTGTCTAATCATTTTTACACAAAACTTTTCATGGTTGACGCTGAATTTGGTTCAACATGTAAAAGAGGTGATTAGAGGGCTATAAGTAGAAAGACATGTAAAAGAGGTGATTAGAGGGCTATAAGTAGAAAGACATCCTGTTAGAATAACACTAACCTCAAAGTGATTTTTTTTTTGGTAGCGGGAATTGAACTCAGGACCTTGTGCTTGCCAGGCAGATGCTATGCCACGGAGCTATATCCCTGGCCCCTCAAAGTCATTTTTATACTACTGTGGGCTAGAGAACTTACTATTCTGTAAAGAAAAAGTAGAGTTTTTATTTTTGTTTTTAGTTAGTTCAAGGAGTAATAGACCTTATTTTTTTTTTTTAGACCTTACTTTGTAGTTTTATTATCTTTGAATGAAATGAGCTATTCCAGATCTGAACAGAGCGGGGGACATCTTAGCTGATCTGAGCACAGGTTTTTTGGTTCTTCTGATAGCAATGCTCTAAAAAGAACATTGAAGGTATTAATTTGTCCCTAACTTCAAAGTAGGAAGCATAAGGTTAGTTTCCTTGCCTATTAGTCTTTGGATGGACTACTAATACTTTTATCAGGTTAAAAAATAACAGCAAAAATATCTCTCAACACTTTGGAGATAATAGCCCTAACGATATCATTATGATTCACCACTTTCCATTCAGCAAGTAATATTTAGTCAGTGTCTTTGAACACAGGCCTGGGCCAAGACATGTGGGTGTCAGATTGTTTGTTCTTCCTTCAAATAAAAATTCTTTAAATATGTGTCCCACGTATTTTAGAAGACAGAACGGTAAAGGAAAGCTGTATTTGGCAGTGCTCCACGTCTCTGAAATTGCCTCTAGCAGTTGCAACGTAGCCCTCAAGTGGCAAAACCTGAGCAAAACAAAGCACACCCCCCAGGACCTGCGCAGCTGGCGAGACCTGCCTTTCTCACCCGGTTTAGCAAGCGCCTGTTACTTCTCAAGCAGGCCTCTCCGTAAAACACTCCTTGTGCATTTGGTGGCTGCCAACTTGGGGAAGGACACAGAAGTGATGAGACATGGGCTTTGCCCTGAATGGATCTGCACAGAGGAAGATCAGTGGATTTAAACAAATTAACTGAATGTGGTGTAAATTCATGTGTTCACAATATGATGCAGTGCAGTACAGTCTACAGCACAGGCTAAAGCATGACAGCGAACCTGTTCGAGACAGTGCCCAAACTGCAACCCAGAGCCCGCTTATCACAAAGCACCAACGCTGCAGTAAACCTGAGCACTGAGGTTTTAGTTTAGAAGAAACCACTCGTGCAGTAACATCTGTCTTAAAAAAGCACCTGTGCCGTAGGTTCGCCGTCCCTGAACTAGCGCCATGGTGGTGAGGAGAGGGCTCATGGTGGGCCTGACATTTGACTTGGTCTTATAGAGGAAGTGGGCTTTCTGTGGGCTGGGAACATGGGAAGAAGTAAACCTGGGGAGAAAGTCACCTAAAAAGTGCTGGGGAAGTAGAAAAGGCATGCATCTGACACAGTTATTTTGCTTCTGGGGATTTTAATATAATTTAATTATATTCATAAATGAATATTTACAGTAGATAAAAATAAAGGGACATCTTGAGAACACTATACTAGAGAACTCACAGGTCTCCCCGTTCCAAGAGGAAATGGCCTAGCAGAGGAAATGGTAATATTAGACACCATGTGTGCTGCAGACCTGGCGGACGTTAAACCTGGGCCGCAGAAGGAAGTTTAAGGATGGGAGTGTTCTGTGTATCTGAACCTTGTTCTCTCCATTTTGTACTCTGTGCTTAGGGAGAACAAAGTAATCTAAACTTTAGATGAGGAAATAAAATGTATTCTCCAAGGCAAAACTGCTGCCAACTTTCGTTCTCTTTCCATCATCCTCTCCCTACAAGACGGGGTGTACCTGCGAAATACAATGCAGCTATTAAGAAAAGCAGCTGTTTTTGGTTAGTTTCTTTTTTTTTTCTTGGCTTGCTTAAGCGCTTGACTCATCCAGAGTAGGTTACATCTTTATGAGCACCTAAAGTGTTTGGAAGCTCAGACCAAAACTGATGCCTGTCGCCAAGATCAGGCCTGTAGTAATAGCGTGGTGGCTTCTGCTTGGGAAAGTAGAGATGAGAATAAAAAATGATTTTTTCACCGGGGTATAGCTCCGCTACACAGTGCCTGCCTGGCAAGCACCAGGTCCTGAGTTCAATTTCCCAGTACCCGCCCCCCAAAAAAACCAATTAAAAGAGATTTTTTCCTGGCTGCTCAGTGCTTAACAGAGCAAAGTTTTGGACACAGGGGCGTCTGCCAGAAATTACATCTTCACTGTAGCTTTTATTAACTGTAATAATAGTTACGTTCTGGAAAGCGTTGGATTCAGTATGGCTGCTCTTAGGTCATTGTGCCTACCTTTAATTAATAATGTGATTTAAACCAAATCGAGCTCCCATTTACTGCAAAAAATTTAAAAGAAATCAGAAGGGTCACTCTGAGTGGCGGGGGTCAGGCGGAGTGATTACACTGTAGTTCTCAAGTGCCTCACACAACTAATTAGCTACTGGTAGGGAAAATAATGTCAGAAAGACTTATCCTTTGAGCTTCGTTATTTTGTAGTTCATACTACACTTCCATGTTTTCCAGATATCTCGAAGTCGGAGCCCTTCTCCCACAAGATGCCTGTTGCCAAGTGAGTGGACAGTTAAGATGGATCAAGTTTCCTGCTCCCTAATGCTCTTTCTAGTACTCAGCAGTATGCAGCAAGATGAACGGTCTCCTGGAGGGAGTCTTCTCCCTCTGCCTCCCAGCGTTCATCACGGGGCCCTTTTGATGCTGGTGCCTGTGGGTTAAGCGGAAGGAGCTTGCAGTGGGGGTGGTATAATTACGCTAAGCCTAGACTGATCACTCCTTTTGGATTTAGACGCTTGGGAAAGAAATCTAAAAAGTAATCATAATTACGAATTGTCTCTCTTTCTCCCTAGGGTTTTAAAGCCACCAGATGTGTTCCTTTGCCACAGTTGATCGTAGCAGCCGCCTTCCTCAGAGGCTCCGCCCACCTGCCTCATGTGCCTCCAGCCTCACTTAACATGATGTGAAAAGTGTTAAATGCTTTGGCTTAGCACGTTTGTAACTTCAGATGTATCGTATTTTATTTTATTTTATAGACACAGATTCCACCAACTTCATAAAAATGATTGCGTAGGTATTTAGGATCATACTCATTTGAAGCAAAGTCCATCATGAAGTTTCAGGATTTCCAGTCTGTAATATGAGCCTCTATCGCAGTTACCTGAACAAAAGTGGACAGTCTTTACCATGTTGAGTTCAAAAGAAAAGAATCATTTCACTTACAGATTGAGGATAAATGTTACCATTGTTGGTATCAGGTTTTAACCTGACACTGACATTGGGCATTTTAATAGCCTTTTAAGGTTTGGAAGACAACCTCAGTCTCAGATTGGGATAGTTACAGATCGGTGTCAGGGACTCCGGGCTCAATGCAGAAGGTGATAATTTAAAAGAAGACAGTTAACTTGCCTGTGTGTTCTTACTTTGAGAGCTCCTGGCTTGAGTTTGTGAAATACTGACCACTGAAGCTACTTATTTGAGAGAAGTTTCTTGCTTCAAAAGTGCAGAACAGTGGTTTGAGTAGAAGTCACCCTTGAGATAAATGTTAATCACTTTGTGTTTACCCGCTAGGAATGTTTCGCTGTTTTAATGCATATTCCCTGGGGTATGATGTTTACCTATTCTACCCATTTGTTTGCAAATTCAGACCTCCTGTGACCTCATCTGACTGGAAGTGTCTGAGCTCAAGTCCTAGAACTAGGGGCATCACTTAGTGATTATAAATTGAGCTTATCTCCCTTGACTTCTTCCTGCGATGTGCTCTTAAAAATTCACATTCAAGATAAGAATAACTGTTGTTTTCTTTAGGTAAAGTTTTTTCTATTTTTCCTTTTTCTCCTACTTTAAAGCCAGCCTTACACACAAGCTTCACTACTGTTGACTGCTTTTTCCATTTACCTTTCAGAGACCCACTTTGAATTGGCCAAAACTCAATTTGCATAAGCTCAGTGCCAAATCCAGCACCAAAAACATCCAGAAACAACTTCTGTAGAATGTCGTACCTCTGTGCTGGGTGCTGGAAGCGGGTAGAAGGACGCCCTCGTCCTTGCCCCTTCTGGCGCAGTGGTCAGCAGCTTAATCTGAGTGGGATTTCAACTTCTCTCCCTCTTGGTGCGTTTGTGGCATCATCTCTGCGAGGCCAGGTGGTGTGCTGGAAGGGGCACTTGGTGTCTGGAGAGCCCCTGGCCCTCCTTGGTCATGTACTTGCTGTGTAACCTCGAGCTGGTTCCTTCTCAAGTGCATGGTAGAGCAAGCAGGTTGGATGAAATTAGTGGTTCTCATAACCCTACTAGGCCCAGTGTCTCTTTTCTAGCACACGTTTTATTCTGGATATCTTGGAATGAAAGCCAGAGTTAGCTGTCTGTACACACATTTAACTTACACTGTGAATGTAATACTGTTACTGTAAAACAAAGCACAGAAAAGAAAGTGATTTTGAATGAAATATATTTCAATAAAAAGCGTGGGAAGTAGTAAGTTAGAAACAAGGGCACTGCATCACTCCCATCTCTACATTCAACTGTAAACCTTACCCCACCCTCACAGTTACGCACGCTCCCGTAGTCCTCAGACTGGGAAGTCGCGTGAGTCCCCTCCCCTCTGTCCATTCAGCATGGACGCGAGACCGCCCTGATTATTATTCAGGGTTAGTGTTGGGAGGTTGCACAGATGCTGACATAGAAAAGAGGAACAGCGGGAGGCACCTAAGACCAGTGGGCGTCTGACCCTAAAATACTGGAAGCCTGAGTTACAAAGCCTTCTTTTGCCACATGGCCCTTCTGCCCATTCCTGCTGCTGCCCATGATCTTTAATAAACATACTGCATACTATGAGGTGTATGCTTGGCAATTCTTTCCTTGTTGGACATAAGAACCTGGACTATCTTTGGCCCACTCAACTGTAGCATCTGGCGAGCCAACCAGGATGACTGTAGCAAGCCTTGGGAGACCTCACCGAGCACCAGAGGCCTTTGGAGACCTTGGCAAAAGTGGGCAACCAGACAACCCGACCAGCGAAGAAGGCAGCTCCTCAATCTGCTGGGAGGTTCTCTCTCTTCCCCTTTCTGGGAGAGAAAATGGATTCCCGGGAGGAGAGGTGGACCAGCTGCCCTGTGGAGAAGACTAGACTGTGAGACAAAAGGCTTCTGTCTTTGGGGCAGGAGAGACCCCGCCTCTTAGTGGGGCTTACATTCTGTTGTTGATCACACAGTGCGGACAGTCTACCTTGCAGGCCATGGCACATGCTCAGTAGGGATGGGCATGGGCCAAGCAGAGTAGGAACGCCCGTTGGAGCAGGGGAAGAAGCTCTGATAAACAAAGGCTTTGGTGTTCCCACCCACAGCCGGGGGCCACAAGCTATCGACGTGGGTTGCCAAAAGTCCAGCATGAAACACCAGGAACAACTTTTCTAGAGCATCCTGCCCCTGTGCTGGGTGTTGCTTGTTCTCTGTGGAGCCCTTGGGAGCTTGCCTTGAACTTGCGCAGCCCTTTGTGTAGAGCCAGGGGCGTTTGTGCTTCCCTGTGGGTCGGGGACTCACATGGAGTGCTCCCCTTCTGCAGGTTTTAGTAATTTTCCTTCTTTTGATTCTTCCTCTCCCTCGCAGGCTTTCAGGTATCAGAGTGTTCCACTTGTTTAGTTGTTGGGTCTGGCTAACTCAAAAACAGGATTAAGAGATACAGAGTCTTCCTGCAAAGGGGGAAGAGGAACGGGTCTATTTAAACCTCCCACCACTGCGTCACTGTGAGCCCATGAGTGCTGGAGTGAGCCCTAGCTGATTCACTTAATCTGGGTCCTGGAATTCTGCCTGAAGCCATTGCTTCCTGAGGTAGCTTGCTGATTTGGTTTGCAGTCCTTTTTTCTCAGTGTTGCTTTTGTTGTGATAACTGGCTTCAGCTTTATACAGCTGTCTAAAAGGGCATAGTGTCTGGCTTTTATTTTGAGATTCTGCCACCAGACGTGTATGCTTGTGGCTTAATCTAGTGAGTTGAGTTTTCTTTAGGGATGGGTTTTGTTCCCTTCTTAATTGGCTAAGAGACATCAAGCCAGTAAGGTATCCTACTAACGGGCTCTTCAACCAGAAGATGAGTTGTGTTTGCAGGGGAAATCCAATGGGTCCAAGGAAGCAGCACTGGTGTTCTCGGGGCTGGAGACATCCAGTCCAAAGGAGTTCAGTTTAGCCAAGTAATGACTCCTGGGGAGCTTAAAAGGAAATCAGCCTATCCATATTGAACTCCTGGTAGGAAGACTCAAAGCTTAGTGGGATTGCTGAGGTCCTAGATCCTAAATTATACTCCTGTCTACAGATGGGAACAACCTTATCTATTCCTTCTGAGTCCTTGTTTGTATGTCTACTTAACCGCGGGAACAAGCATCACACTAAGATCCTTCAAGGGCATCATCTCATATTTCTGAGTAGTAAAAAATGGCCTATGTATGGGAAAAATGAGACATGGCCACCCCTGGGCAGCCTAAAGTATAATGCCGTATTTCAATTATATCTTTAATGTAGGGAACAAAGAAGGTCGTCAGAGGTGCCCTACGTTCAAGCCTTTATGAGCCTCTACCTAAGGCCTGATTTGCACCCTGGAAGTCATCGTCCCTCAGGAGCTTATGTTGTCGAGGTCTCTCCTGTCAGCTCTCCTTCCCACAGGCCGCCTCCTCAACCTGCTTAGTCAATACCCTCAGGAGATAAAGGCCATCTCTTGAGTTTACCTCATACTAGGTCTGGGTCTACTTATTGTAGGACCTTAAACTTGGGAAACCCTACGTCAGATCCTACCCCTACCCTGCTTTACCCCTGCTCTACCCCTTCAAGAAGGGGTGGTTACCAATGGTACAATCTGTGTGGTAGTTCCCTGTTCAGTTATAGAGTCAGTAGTGCAAGGAGAAGTTGGGTAGATTCTCTGAGGGTTTTAAAAAGTTTGCTGATGGTTTCCAAAGCCCAGTGATGGCTTTCCATCTGACCTGGTGAGACGTCCAGTTCAACCTTGTCTGTCATTGTGCAGCGGTAGAAAGGAACAGGGTTATAAGGCCGCAAAGCAGGCCCGTGAAATGGTGCAGACTTGGCAGTTTCACCCTCTGACAGTCAGCCAGCAGTAGTATTCTTTGGGTCTCAGCAAGGGCCTGAGTGAAACTGTAATTCAGGAGCGGAGAAGCTAAATAAAAGTTACACATCAAGACCATTTCAGCCGGTATGTAACGAGGGACGCCCAAACCTGTGAACCACAGTAAGCTCAGGTCAGGTAGTGAGGGCCCCGATGAGAGCCCGGTTACATTTCCCCTTTGGCTTAAAGAGGCCCTCCATAAATACAGCAACTTAGACTCTGAGTCTAGTGAAAGTCAGATCATCCTTAGCCAGTACTTTATCAGTCAGTCAGCTCCATATACCCCAACCGGGTCCACAAACCAAAATAAGCCAGTTGATTGATGAAGTTTACTTGGTGTTCAATAACTGTGATAAAGTAAAAGACAACTGGAGAAGGAGAAGAGACAAGGGAATCAAACATTTTAAAAATTGTACTTCACGGGGAACCTGTGGCCTCATAATACAAGCCCAGAAAAGTTGGCCAACACAGCAAACCTGCGCAACTCCCTTTCAGCTACAAATTGGCCTGCCCATTCCCTTTTTCTTGCAGATGGTCGTCTTCCACCGTGAAGGGACCTCCCTTTCAGCGCTTCTGCTAGGAGTAGACCGTTACCTCACGAGGGGTGGCCATCCTTGCCCATTCACCGAGACAGACTGAGACCAGACTAAGACGAAGACTGTAGATTATAGAGTTTCACAGGTTCCTACCTCCCCAGGCACATAAAGGGTCCCCAGTTCCCAACTGTGCTGTGCCTCGTTTCTTTGAGTACCCACATTCCACTCTTGAGTGTGTCTTACATTTACCTCTAGTAAATCTTTTTCATGCCTCTTTTACTGACACATCCCAAAATTCTATTTCCATGATAAGCGTGAGCGAGCCTACACACTTATTTTATAGGAGTTGGTTAAATTCCTTATTTCAGCCTTGAGGACCCTCAGACCCTGCTCGTGACAAAGCCATTTAGAAAACATTGCCTGATATAAGATCTCACAACCCTAGTAACCACGTCTTTCATCATTAAGATTCAGGAAATAGGTGGATTCAGGGTGAAACTCCAGGGTAAAAAACTCAAACCACTTGAGACACCAGAAGACAAAGAAGGACCGTGAATTTCATACCTGTGAGCCAGCTGACAGCCTCAAGCTTCTTTTCAGGAAAGAAACACCAGCCACTCCGGTGCCGCAGATAGAAAAAACGGTGTGCCCCCTTCTAAGTAGATTTGTGAGTAGTCTCACTGCTGTCTTGCTTACTACACTTACTAAAACAATAATTGTGCCTGATTCAGAAGAAGGCCATGGCCAAATACGTCGGAGTGCACTCTGGTTTGTAAACAGTTGTCTTCGGTGTGCTTCTCTGTCCAATTTGTGCTAATGACTGGTCCAGACACCTACAGCTATTTTGTTGGCGCTCAATAATTTTTTTCTGGGATTTACATGGAAAGCAGTTTATATAGGTTAAAATATGTCTACGATTTAAGTTGTCTTATAGGTAAAATAAGTGTCATTGAAGTTAAGGACATGCTTCTATCCAGGTTGCCAGCCAATCAAAATGATGTGAAGACTGGTTTTTCAAATGCAATTCCTAGTGTTGTCTAGTGTTTTTCCAATGTGATATCTACTCATAGGTCATGTAAAAACAAAAATATTCTGTTAAGATAATGAATGAAGACCCTTTCAGCTTGAGAATACTGCTGGACAAGACTCCGCATGGTGAATAAAAGGAGACTCTGCCTGGAAACACTTATTCTAGTCTTTATTCACTAATGAGACCCTCCCCCCAAATTTCTGTAGCTGTATGGGAGACTCACTCCAGTAAACGTTGCTGAACATGTTGCTATAATATCTTTACATTGGTTACCATCAAAAGGTCAAGTTTTCTGTGGGTAAAACAATATAGTTTTCTTATTAAAAGATGCTCTTGGTACAAAACTAAAAGATAAAGGTTTCTATACAGCTGTGACACTCATTATTGATGATTTCACGCTGTATTCATGCTTTCTGCTTATACAGATCTTCAAAGATGTAGAACTAGGGTTTTTTATGGTGATAAACTTTTCTTTTAGACTGAAATAATGCCTGAGGAGACTTAACTGACCTTGACGGATAACAAGAGGTAAATTTTGGTTGACACAGGTTTCTCTTTAACATGTTCTTGAACACGCAGCAGGGGAGAATAACCAAAGACATAAAAGTAATAGCAATATAGGCTGCGCATAAAAGGGGCTCCGGTCGCTTCCCCTGCTGACAGTTTCGAGCGACATTTGTAGACAGGTGTAAGAACCAGCGATTAAAGTGCTGTTTCAGTCCCTTAAGAATGGCATGTGACGTGGCCCCTTCCCCACTCTGCCTTCTCCTTCCGGCTCTCATGCTTTGGCCATTCATGCCTTAAGCTCTTGGTAAAGTTTGTTTATTCTCACCTGGAGACTGCCAAGCCCCAAGTGATCATAGAGATAAAATCCGTGCCACCTAAGAGCTCCACAGGCAGCCTGCACAAACTTGCCCAGAGTATTGCCTGCCTTCAAGATCAGATAGACGCGTTAGCACCAGTGGCCGTATAATATCGGAGAGGACTAGATCTCAACACCTGAAACAAAGGGGCTATGTTTGTTCCTAAATGAAGAATGTCCTTCCCTTGTCAGTAGGTCTAAAGTAATAGGATGTGGCCCAAAAACTAGCTGTCCATGCATCCAAGATCTGTATTTGGGTCATGGATGTCCTGGCTGAACATCTGGAATTGGGGGTCTTGGTTA